CTTTGGTGGTCTAAAATCGATAAGAGTTGGCTTCGGCTGCCACCCGGGCAAAATTCAAAATTTCCTACCAACTGAAAAAGTTTAATGTGTCCCGCGCGCTCATATGACCTTATGCAGTTGCGAGCGCCGTAAAACACTTAACCAAAGACAAACTGTTTTGTCAAGTCACTAACTGTTGGACACTAACAAGTCTTGTTCTTTACAACATTAAGCTGCCGTTGTTTTTATCAGTCTGCCTTGTTGTGTTGGATTTTTTTCAGCACTAAAGTGACCGTTACTGTGTCGATATAATTATGTTTACTCAAACAAACAAACATATTTCAGAACAAAATCTGAGTCCAGTTCGGAATTGATCTCAAAATGTAGCCGCCAGGCCACACGAAAGTTTAAGGAAGATTTCGCCATAGCCAAACATCTGTCGATTATTGCACTGACTGACTTTTTGTGCTGGTTTCCCATTGGATTTATGGGTGAGTTGTTGTTGTTGTTGTTGTTGTTCTTATTGTCGTTGTTGTTGGTGGTGGCGGTGGTGGTGGCGGGGGGATGATGGCAGAGGTTGTAGTGGTAATGTTTCTACTGCTTCAGATGCTGCTGTTAATGATGATGGTGATAGTCTTCAGCTGCAAAACAATAGAATGATGATGATGATGATGATGAAGATGAAGATGATGCTGTTGTTGTTGTTGCTGTTGCTAATTGCTCTCGCTAGATCTAACCTCTTGTGCTGGTTTCCCATCGGACCTATGGGCAGGCGGTTTTTGTTTTTGTTGCTGTTGTTGTTGTTGTTGTTGTTGTTGTTGTTGTTGTTGTTGCTGTGTGTGTGTATGGTACCCTATCCGTTCAAAATGTTTGGAGCCCCGAAGAATGTGCTCTTCTTCAGGTCCACCGCCTCTCTTGGGTAGCGGGTGAGGCAGTACCCTGAATCCTCCCTAAAGAGATGTCACAGCCGGACCTCCGTGGCGGGGCATCTCTGCAGCCAGTGCTCCAAATCTTGGGGCTCCTCGTTGCACAATGGACAGATTGGGTCCGATGTTTTGTCTATTATAATTTTGTGAGCCTGCAAACCCAGAGAAGTGAGCGGTCCTGATTTTTGCCAGTAGTGACTGGTCACTGCGGGACTTAATTTGAGCCTCCCGTTTTCCGGAAATTGCCCGGCATGTTTCCTTCGTCCGCAAGTGGGATATCGGAGGGTCTTTTGTGATGAGTACGCACTTTCAAGTGTAATTTAGCGGCCTGGACCGGGCAGCGCTATTGCCAGTGTGGCATTACTTTCAGTTTCAGCGAGATCGTTGCAGAGGATATCGCAGTGACCAGGCATCCACTGAATCGTGGGTTGAGGTGTTGCATTATTTATGCGTGCGTAGTCGCATTTGGTCGAGGGATGGTGATGTTCCCACAGTGCCATGCAGAGCAATTGACTACCAGTGAAGATAGCGACCGAGCTGGATGCATCGCTCTGTTTGTCGATCCAGTCAATGGCTATTTCCAAGGCTCTCCTCTCTTCCTCGAAAGGGCACGTGAATATGGGACCTTTCTCCCTCAGTATCTTGTCAACGGTCGGGTTGAACAGTGTTGTTGTTGTTGTTGTTGTTATTGGTGGTGGTGGTGGAGGTGATGCTGCTTCAGTGGCTGCTGTTTATGTGATGATGACGATGATATTTTTCTGCTGTAAAACAACGATGATGATGTCAACATCGACTTTTTATTTCATGGAAAAAGCCCTTCTATCTCAATTTTTGGTTATATGAAGGTCTATCCTTACTGCGACTGTTTTGAAGGATTTTCTCTAACTTTGAACCGACTTTTAATTGTTTGTTTTAATTTTGTGCTAGTGGGAGGTCCTACTATTCTTGAATCTGAAAGTAGTGGTAGACCGCGCTTATGCCTATGGACACGTAATAACTTCATCCCTATTTTAAAAATGTTAGTTTCTATAATGGTGTTTGGATGGCGTAGCTAAGGGGGTCTTCTTCTTTACATTTTTTTTATTTTTAATATCATCTGTTTTAAACCTTCTCTGCAACCAAAAAAGATCGACTGATTCTAGAAGAAAACACAGAGAAGAAAAGTGTTCAGCTCAGACAAGTGTTTGCACAGTGTGTATTCTGATATTTAACAATACCTTTACTACTACTGCAACTATTACAACAACAACTACTACTACTACTACTACTACTACTACTACTACTACTACTACTACTACTAC